CCACACCACGTAGAGAACATCGGAATAGGACGGTCAAGGTAGTTACCCCAAGCCTCTGACACACTACTACAGTCAACTTCGCCAATAACGACATTCGGCGGGGCATCAGAAAAGTGTCCTTATTCGCGAAGTGTCCTTATAACCGAAGTCCCATTTGAATGTATGTGAACCCATATTTTGTATAGTATGATATGCATATCAAAATCAAGCTCTTTTCTTGCTCTATGTCAATGTGTACTTTATTTTCATATTGCAGTTGAAAGGAACTAAAAATTCAATATGCAAGGGAAATCAATTGAAAATATGCCTTTTTGAGCCATCTACAGGGCCAGAGATATGTACATGTACATGTATGATGATTACTGTACAATCATGTACATTGTATACATATTATAATAGGTGTGCTGGTAAATCCAACAATTTTGAAGCCAACATAAAAAAGGAAGAAAAAGCCCCCCCCCCCCTTGGCTGCATTTTCTTGCATGTGTGCAATAATATCCATCACCGGTGCACCATAGCATAGGTTCTGGTACTTTTGCATGACAGGTACTTGAAATAGCTGGCAAAAGCCCAGAAAGTCGTTATTCAAGCAGTGAATATGACCACGGGGCACTAAAAGCATGTCGCTATACGCGAATTGTCGTTATTCAGATAGTCGTTATATCCGAAGTTAAATGTATACAGTTAGATGGGACTTTGCTCTGGGCATGGAAATTCGGTCGTTATTCGCGAATTGTCGTTATATCCGCAGTCGTTATTAGCGAAGTTGACTGTAGATACACCGGTACCTTGAAGTGAACCTGGAGTTATTTTACCACCCACCTCCCCATTGCAACTGAGTACTGTGAAAGTAGCTTTCTGACAGGTTGGCAACTAAATGACTGTATGTACGCGGACGTGAAGACTCCATGGCACCTATAGACATACATTGTAGTAATACCTAACATACCAAAAAGGGTTTGTACAGAGAAGCAGGAGCTCTGGGTTTCACGCATAAAATAGGTATTGGATAATCTGAGTGACTATGGGCTCGATAGAATCATGCTACGATGACCCGACTTGTAAATTGGAGATCCCTTTTCTCCCCCCCCCCCCCCCCCCATTGCTACTTCCATTTTCGTATTTTTATTTTTATTTATTGTTATACAATCCAGAAAGATACTAATAAAGAGAAATGGAGTGAGAAGAAACAACACCTATGAAAATGATAATCCTAGCACTAAGGTAAAGACTAGTCTTTACAAGTTCGTTAAGTGCTTTCGCAGTTTTTCCTGTTATTACCTTAGTGCTAGGATTATCATTTTCATAGGTGTTGTTTCTTCTCACTCCATTTCTCTTTATTAGTATCTTTCTGGATTGTTTTTCATTAGTACAACGTACATTGTAGCTTCCTGAGGAGTGTTGTGCGAAAACTAGTTCGAAGTACGATTTATTGTTATCTTCATTTTTCCGACTTTCCTTACTGGTTATCATCGAGTTGGCACTTCCCTCAAGTGTGTGGACCACTCTCTCGAGCTGATGCTGTTACTCGTTTCAAGTGTACCCCTACCACATATGCACATGTCTGCGTATTATCAGACGTTGTCCTCGTCGCTCTTATCCACATAGAAAATGGCCGTCGTCGAACTTGCAGTGAGAAGGATGTATCCCAGCACTGCAGACTGTACAGAGTAACAGGTATCCGATAGTATGCTAGCTACGTGTACAAATGTATAATATGTATGCAGCGCCCAGAAGGGTACATGTACACAGCTCTGCTGTTTCTACATGTACATTAAATTTTGTACATGTACATGTCAATGTGTACATGTACATTAAATTTTGTACATGTACATTTTACAAAATTTAAAAATTTTGTACATTAAATTTTGTACATGTACATGTACATGTCAATTTTGATCTCATCGAGGCAGCTCAGAGTGACTGACCAAGTTAGCCGATTGCAATGAAGTCCTGTGAGCTACAAAGCATCTCTTACTCGGATCGAGTTCAAGGGATCAACGTCTGAGCGCTCTAACAATGTGGAAAACACAGCGTACTTTGCACAAAGTCAGTTAGTTGCCTTTGACGCCAAGCAGAAAGTGTGGATATTCTGCTACAGTAGAGCCTCTCGGCCCTCTACTGTAGCAGAATATTATCCACACTAC